ACCCCACGAAGTAACTTAGTTGTAATGGTAAAAAACTAAAAATGGGTAAAACAATCATTTAAATTGAGAAACTCACAGCAACCTTTACATTTTCTTTTTGCCTTTTATTATTATTATTATTATTATTATTATTATTTTTTTTTTTGGGAACTCAAGATTGACGGCTTCTCTCCCCCACCGCTTCAATTTTATCAGTCATTCACTGAACTGAGAACCAGCTACATCCAACCTCAATTCCACCCCAATTTTTTCTTTATTTGCTTCTACGGCGGGCCTTAATGCCTTCCGCTGTGACAACACACCCACCCCAAGTTTTTCTTTTTTTCTTTTCTGGCTGATCTAATCGTTGGAGAGAGACTCTGGCCTCTGATGCCACCATTTACCACCGACTGTAGCTCCACCAAAAATTGATTCTCCTCGACCTTCAAATTACATTCTGCTCTTTCATGTTTCATCCTACTTAAAGCATACGTTGCAGAATTCGGAAGAGAAACTAAGGTTCTTACTGGATGTGGAGTTCAACCGGGATTATCATCCTCTTTCAACTCCTTACGGATCATCATCCTCTTTCAATTCCTTCAATCTTAGAGATCAAGTATAGCAATTAAGAAGAGGGCCGGGGCATTTAAGTTGAAAAAAAAAAAGAAAGAAAGAAAGAAAAGAGAAGAGGTAGAGGCCGAGAGAGAGGGAGGGAGAGAGAATGAGAAATAGGAGGTAAGTCGGGAGTCTCGGTTTGACTAGCAAAGCAGCAGCATCTATGGTGAGTTGGGACGCCTATTGACAGCTAAAGGAGGTAACAAGAATTTACAATCGATGTTTAAAAGAGTTAGAAGTAGTTTGAAATATTTAGGGAATTATAAATGAAAGCTAAACCTTATGCTCCTTGTTGTGTGTTGTTCTTGGTTGCCTAGGACTGTAGTTAGAAATATATGGATGATTTATTTATATTCTGAAGGTATGCATGCTAGTTGCACGGTTAAATGCCTAGATGGAATTATGAAATATTCAGATTTGGTTAGATACTTTTAAAGGGTTCGATTATCATATTTTATGATTCTTTTATGCATATTTTTCTTACTTAAATCCTACTGGTGTATCTAACATCTGTTTTTCTTTTCATGTTTTGTCAAATGGATATGTCAATTGTGGGAAAATCTATTTGAAACAAAGTACTTTGAGTAGTATATTCGAAAAAGTGCAGAAAAAAGATTTGATGTCCTCTGTTGAGGGTTCTTCTCTTAGTTCTCCAACACTTTTCAAGGATTTCTTTTGATGAATGTCATCTTTGTTCAGTCTAGTTTATTGTTGTTGTTTACGGATTTCAAAGCAGACTTGTAAATTGTCCAAAACAGTGATTTGAACATAACATGTCCATGACTGAAAAATCTGAAAAATCCAGCTTCTGAGTACCTGTTTAGGAGGTAGTTACTCCTATATTTTGAGTTGTCCTCTGAGGTCTCTTCTTACAAATATATTCTTTGTTTGAGGTGGTTGATGACAGTTTTAGTGGCTTGTGAAAAGGAGTCATATTGCTCCTTTTTCTGTACAAAGTTGTCCTTTTCAAGGACGTGAAACAGTGAAATCTGAGATGTTTAATTGGTTTGCACGGTATCAATAAGATGCTGATCAGGGGAAAGTAGTGGTAAGTTATAAATCGTGCAAATATGTTTGATTGTTGATTAAAAATTAATGTTTAGTTGCTAAATCCTTCTCTAAGATTTTCAGGTAGAGCCAACTCGGGCTGGATCCAGTATCGGAGTCACCGTCAGAAATTGGTAAAGCCAAAGTTGTTTTCCTTTCCAGTATCGGTAGCACATCTCAGCCAACCCAACGAGTCAACTTTGGCTTGGTTTTCGAAGGAGGAGTAGAGTTTGAAACTTCCAAATCATCAAGCTAACGTGCTAATCCAACCTTTTCATTAAGTTATTTTAGTTTTATGAATTAAGTTGCTGTGTAGCAGGGAGGTTCCTTATTGTCTTTCATATTATTAAATTTTTTGTTCATTGTGGTCTTTTCACCTTAAATGTCATTCAAATGCTGCATTTTTTTTTAGTTCTTACTTAATCAATCAAGGTTAGCTCTGGTTAGTAATTCATTAGTTTCACCAACTGATGTGAGTTTTAGAATTTTTCTATTTTTCATATGGGATGGTGCAAAAACTTATTCTACATGAGTTTACTTAATTTTGGGATTAAGGGAAGCATGTTGATTAGGAGACTTGAATGGCTAACGAAATTGAGTCACTCCATTAAAACTATACGATATTTGGTTATCATTTGTTTTCTAAATATAGAGTCCTCTTTCCGTTGATCCTTGTTGACAAAGAAAGATGTTGTGATATAGTCCGATTTTTTAGCTTTTTAAATTAAAAAATAATCCACAATGATTTTATTTTACAGTGTTTAGTTTATGATTTTATTTGATGGTATTTATCTCAATAAATAAGGAAAAATATGTTGTAGATAAACAAAGTTTTACTTTATGTAGGTGTGATTTTTTACTGGAAGTTTGTGATAGTGTTTTGTCATCTCAACCTCAATATGGATAAAAGCTGGATGAAAAATCAAAATACTCAGGAGTATGCTAATGGAGTAGATAAATTTTTAGACTTTGCATTTAGTCACCAAATTACAAATGGAATGATTATTTGTCCATATAAGGAATGTAAAATTGGCATACTAATGAGTAGACATGATGCACGGGAGCACTTATTAGTCAAGGGTTTTGTTAAAGGGTACACCCAATGGATCGCTCATGGAGAATTGAAATCGTGTCAAAAAAATATTAGTGCACCTCAGTTTGATAACCCATCCACTTCAAGTGTCGGTGATGATATGGATGGGTTACTTCATGACGTTTTTGGTCTTTCACATGAAAATGAAGATTCTCACATTCATGAGGATGCTCATATTCCTAGTAATACGGGATCACCAATACACAGATTTACCTGGTGGGGTTACTGGAGAATTTTATAAGTTAATGGATGATTCCAAGTTGAGCTTATATGAGGGATGTGAGAAATTTTCTAAACTTTCATTCATCATACATTTGTTGCATTTAAAATGTCTTCATAAAACCAACAATAAACATTTTGACATGCTCTTGGAGTTATTAGGAGAAGCATTTCCATAGGCAATGACGGGCTTACCTAAATCTCATTACGAGTCTAATAAATTGATACAGAAGTTAGGGCTCGGTCATGAGAAGATTGATGCCTGTCAAAATGATTGCATGTTATATTGGGGGGGATAATAAGCTTGAGACTATGTGTAAAACATGCAATGAACCTAGGTGGAAAACCTCAACAAAAGATCCAAAGGGTAGTAAAAGAAAAATTGCGCATAAGGTCTTATGGTATTTTCCGATAAAGCCTCGGTTGCAACGGTTGTTTATGTCATCCAAAACAGCATATCACCTGAGATGGCATGCTAATGGTCTTGCTGATGGTCGAATAGAAGATGGAAAGATGAGACATCCAGCTGATTCACCTACTTGGCGAACGTTTGACCATAATTATCCTGAATTTGCCAAAGAACCTAGAAATGTGAGATTAGGATTGGCTTCAGATGGATTTAATCCCTTCAGTAAAATGAGTCAACAACATAGTGCGTGGCCGGTTGTTCTTGTACCTTATAACTTTCCGCCCTGGATGTGTATGAAAGAGCCGTATACCTTCTTGTCCTTGATAATTCCTGGACCATTTGCTCCTGGAAAAAATATTGATGTGTATTTGCAACCTCTAATTGCTGATTTGCATGATTTTCAGCTTCATGCGAACTTATTGTGGACTATAAGTGATTCCCAGTATATGCAAATTTGTCAGGGTGGAGTACCAAAGGGGAACTTGCATGTCCTGTGTGTCATAAATTTACAACTTCGCGATGGTTAGGAAAAGGACATAAGTGGTGTCATATGGGTCATCGGAGATTTTTACCTAAAAACCACGAGTTTCGAAGAAACGCCCAACAGTTTGATGGAAAAGAGGAGCATGGAGTACCTCCTTCCAGACTCACAGGAATATGATGATAAAAGAACTGGAAGGTATTGATTTCAAATTTGGGAAGGATCTGAACAATACAGAGTTGCCTTTTAGTTGGAAGAAAAAAAGTATTTTCTTTGATCTACCATATTGGAAAGAAATGTGATTCGACATAATCTTGACTTTATGCACATTGAAAAGAATGTATGTGAGAGCATTTGTGGGACATTGTTGGATATAGATGGGAAATCAAAAGACAACCTTAAGTCCAGGCGTGACTTGGAAGAAATGGGGATTCGACCAGAGCTTCATCCTAGAACACTTGAAAATGGCAAAGTTTTCCTTCCTCCAGCAGCATTTAAATTGAAGAAGGATGAGAGAAAAATGTTTTGCAATGTATTAAAGATAGTTTAAGTGCCTGATGGTTACTCCTCACCAATATCTCCCGGTGTGTTCATAAAAATTCAGATAAGCTTATTGGCTTAAAAAGTCATGACTACCACATCCCGATGCAACAATTATTACCCATTGCAATGAGAAAAACTGTATCCAAGTCAGTCCGCTATCCCCTGATTAGATTAAGTAGGTACTTTAGAGAAGTAGGCTCTAAATTAGTTTCTCCTAAAGAAGTTGCTAGTTTGGAGAAAGATATTGTCATCATACTTTGTCAGCTTGAAAAAGTTTTTCCTCCATCATTTTTTGATATAATGGTACATCTAACTGTTCATTTGGCAGTTGAAGTAAAGCTCGCTGGACCGGATCATTATCGTTGGATGTATCCAATTGAAAAGTATTTTTTAAAGCATACGTTATTACTTTTTAATTGTACACTATAGATTACAAAGCTCTCTCGTCTAACTCTTTAAGAGAAGACACTATATGATAATCTTCCTTGCAATTTTTACTTACATTTTTTTTTGTTAGGACAAAAGGTACTTAAAACATTGAAATCATATGTTCAAAATAAAAGCAGGCCTGAAGGTTCGATTGGGCACGGGTATCTTGCTGCGGATTATGTGGAATGAAAGCTTATGTGGAATCAAAATTCAATAGGACATCTCGGAATGAAAGCTTGTCTACTACGGCTATAAGTGGATTAAATGTCTTTAATGTGCAAGGTTATGCTCTTGGAAAAGGAACACCGAAGATATTAAATGGTGAAATGCTTAAAAAGGCACATCGATATCTCTTGTTCAATTGTCATAAGTTGAAATCATGTCTTGAGTAAGTCATTTATTTTAATTTCATTTTAAGCACTTTCAAATGTGATATTCTAACTTAAGTAATATGACGTGCTTTTTGAATGTGTAGGCTACATCGTGGCATGGTAGCAGAAAACCATAGTCGTGCTCAGCCCCATGTAGAATGCATTCATAGTGAGGAATTTGCCACTTGGTTTGCCAATAATGTAAGTTTGACTCAAAGCTGATCATTGTTCTTTCTTACTAAAAGTGATTAACTCAAAGTTTTTGCTTTACAAATTTATTTTGTGTTATTTCTTTCAATACATCTAGGGTTTTTCTTTGTTTTCTTTTCTTTTGTAGGTTGAGTCTTTGGATTTTCAAGAACAGGGAAAAGATTTTAAAAGATTTGAAATTGCTTGCCAGAGGTGCAGAAGATGTCGGCCGTACTTTTGAAAAATTTGTAGGAAACGGCTTTAAGTTTCATAAAAAAGAGGTGAAAGAAGAACGAAAAACACAAAATAGTGGAGTTATGACTAGTGCAATGACATCAAGTTTTTCTAGTAAAAGAGACCAAAATCCCTATTAAGTGAGCTTGACTATTATGGAGTTTTGACTTCTATAATTGAGTTGAATTATGACGGCCGTAGGGTTTTCTTGTTTGAATGTGATTGTGTTTCCAAAGGAAACCGATTGAAAAAGGATGGTGATGGTTTCTTGTTAGCTAATTTTGAAAATGTTAGCCGTCATAATGAGTAATTCATTTTAGCTTTTCAAGCCGGGCAAGTTTCCTATGTTGTTGATGTTCCAGATAAAAAAGGTCGGAATATTGTCGTTCCTACTTCTGCTAGAGGACATTATGACATGCAAACTGTTGTAGATGTTGAAAATTACTTACAAAGCAATATCTGTGATCCTGTGGTTGATGATGAGAATACATATGTGATATTGACTCGTGAAGATGTTGAAGGAGATGAAGTTCAACATGGACAAATAAGTTTTATATCGATCTTATTTAAAGGATTTAAATTGGCAGTCTTCATTTTTTTAACTTTAATCTTTGAGCTTCAAAAACAAAAACAAAAAAAAAGGAAAAAAGATGTTCCACTTGGACAAACTTTATAGAACAACTCTTGACTAGTTTTGAGGACATTACACGTAATCTGCAAACACCAACTTTAATGCTCCCAAATAAAGTTAAAAAAAAGCCTGAACATTTAAGAAAATTTGAAGTGCATTTGTGCCTAATTTCGTACCTAATCTCCAGCTCATGTGCGCCTCTGCAAGTTGTAGATTTGTGTGAATAAATAAAATGAGAATGAGATAGTTATGCAGTATCCATCTCTTTATTCAACTGAATGAGGTTGCATAGAATTTGATGGCTATAAATAAGTAAAATTTGAGAATGAGATAGTTATGCAGTATCCATCTATTTATTCAACTGAATGAGGTTGTATAGAATTTGATGGCTATAAATAAGTAAAATTTCCGGAAAACAATAAAGCCTTTAGATATTAATAGAAAACAATAAAGCCTTGTTTTGGGTTTGTTAGGAGTCAAAGGGGATGTGAAGATGAGGTAATTTTGGCTTATAGATTTTTTTGTTTTCCCTTTTTCGTTCAAAATTTTCCCTTTCCCTTTTTTTTTAATGAAAAGATAAAATTTGACAAATACACTCCTGTAAAATTTGACATATTTTCCCCCGTAAGATGGTATTGGCGCTAAAGCTAAAAATTAGACTCTCCCACTTCATCTGTAACCTCTCAACACACCACACTTCTGGTTTCCCAACTCACCTTCAGATTAAACACAAACCATTTGGGGAACTTAGGGGTTTAGATTTCAGTTCGGATTTTGGGTTTTCTTCATCAATAGCCAAAACCATCAATTTGGGGTTTTGAAGATACAGTGACTCAAAAAACCCCCCCAAAAAAATCGAGCACTTCGGTGGTATAGCGGCTTTTCATAAAGTCTCTTCACCAAGAGCTCTCCGGCGACGACAAAGGAGGGAACCATCAGCCTATGCAATTGAGGTAAGCCTGTATGACCATGAAATCCTTTATATCTCATAAGACACCGAAAGATGCATATTTCAATTGATATGAATTTGAGTAGTTGAAATTTTGTTTAGTCGAAGTTTGAAGAATCACTTGCTAAATTGATATGAGTTCAAAGTTTGACATGTTTCAATTGATATGATTTCGATATTTTAGATATGGATGTAACGAGACAAAAACATAAACAAAGTGCTTTTAGTCTTCGCGATGAGCCAATTATGCAACCGACTGGTAATATTAAATGTTCTGTGTTTCTTTTTTTAAAGTTTGAAGGTTGGTTTTAGGTGAGCTTCTCTAGGCCGATTTGAAGTATTCATTGGTTTGTTAATATTAAATGTTCTGTGTTTTTCTTTTCTTTTCTTTTTTTTTTTTAAGTTTGAAGGTTGGTTTTAGGTGAGCTTCTCTAAGGCCGAATTAATGTATTCAATGGTTTGCCACCTAACATATTCTATTTGGGAAGTATTTGTTTGAACGAATTTGATTATGTATAACTGAAGAAAGTTGTAAGCATATTTTAAATTAATTTTGTTCACTGTTGAGCGAGAATAGTATAGTATTAGTATGTATTGAGCCATTTTTATGTACTGGACAGGTCATTTGAGTTACTTGGACAATATTTTGCCAACTAGTCCAAATCCTTGTGATAATTATTTTTATGAAGTTTTATTTTTTAGTAAATTTTGCATTCTTTGTAGGGATGTCATCGGTTAATCGATCGAGGCAAAGGGTGTATATTGCTTCTGTGGAACAATTAAGAAATACACATCCTATCAGAAAGCAATTGCAGTCAACAAATCAAAATTGCGAAATCACAGGTATCATAGTTAACTTGTTTAAATATTACTTGGTCATGCATGCTAATCTCAATGTTGAAATACATTTGACATGTTTTTGTAATGAGGGTTCTTTCTTTGTTCATGTTACTCTGCTTTGTAGTTACCAGATCCCATGCTGCCATACATTGAAAAACTAGTACATATGATGAAATAGATATTGTGGAAGTGTTAACTAATCTAAATTATTTGATTTGTTATAAGGCGAAGCTAGACATATTTTTCATGTCATTTTTTACGGGTTTATTTGATGAGGCTAGGATGGACAATACAATCTCAGCTGAGCACACAGAACAGCCAAGAGAGCTTACAAGTGAAATCAATGATGTTCTAGAACAGACCACAAGAGAGCTTACAAATGAAAGCAATGAAGCTCAAAGTGGGCAAGCCAAAAAAACCTCAAAGAGTAAGATTAATTTATTTTTAAGACTACATAATACATTTTTTTTCATTTATACTTTATGCAACATGTTCTAGTGATTGCTAAATTTTAGAGAAAGGGAGAGGTCCAACAATGATGCTAGAAATTTGGGGTCACGATCCTGCAAAAGGCCTTATCAAGGTTGATTTTGATTACTTAGGAAGAGCTATAGGGATGAATCAGAAAACTTTGTCTGGGTTCATGGGCACCATAGCAAGGAAATCTCACTATTGTCCAATTGATGTGGAAAGTTGGCATGATATGTCAGATCTACGCAAAACAGAGATGTTAAATGTCATAAATGTAATAAACAATATAGTTTTTATTGTTAACATGTTCTGCACTGATATGTATATATAATGATTATGAGGATGTTATACAGGCACGATTAGATATAACCCTTGCATCCGAAGATTGGATTTTGACCCACATTTTGCATTGTTGGAGAAATTGGAAGAATGATATGAAGGCAAGGTATTTTGTTCCTGATGTTCCAGCGGAAGATTTTATTTCCAATATGAAAAACCGAGATCTAGTACTTAGAGTTGAGTTGCGGCAATGGATTGGTATTGTTGAATATTGAAACAAAGAGAAAACAAAGGTGTGTAGTATATCTTATAATTTTTTATGAACATTTGTGTATAGTACACGTAATGTCTCATATACCTTTGAGACTGTGTTTGCATCTTTCTATCCTGTCTTATTTTTAGGAAAGATGTGACAGTAATAGACAAGCAAGAATGGAGAAAGAGTTGGATCATTGCACTGGCAGGACACCATTTGCACAAAAAGAACATCAATTGGTATGTTGAAGAACATCAATTGGTATGTTGTCTTAGACCTCTTTAGACCAAATGATCATTTTTTTCCTGACTGCAAATGCTTATTCACAGAAAAAGCAGAACAATGGATGTAAGCCAAGTCGTGTTTAGATGTTTGGTGCATGCCATAATTGTTGCAAGGGAACCAAATCAATTATTGTCATTGATTATTTGGTACGTTTACATTAGTAATGCGTGTGTGAGATTAATCTTGTCATTTAGTTTATTTTGTTTCTTGAATGTTTTAATTGCACATATGTAGTTCTTACTAATATGTATGTATGTTTTCTTTATAATCTGGTCTAGTTTTTTCTTTTTTGTGAAGTCAATGATTAACATAACTAATATAACGTGTTTTTCTTTGAACCTGGATAACAATATGAGACTCATGATAACTTTCTGATTGTTGAATTTCTTTTGTTCATTGCCTAGGGAGCCTTTCTGAATGTTTTTTTTTTTTACGTCAATTGTTGTCTATTTCTCCATTTGAGCATAATCTATTTCTCTCCCATTTTAGATCCTTTTATCCTTTTTTTGTACTTACGGAGCATCACATTTAGGAGATTCTTTCTACACTGCTTTACAGTTGTACTCACTTTCAAAGTTTTGTCTCTAATTAAAAGTTACCGATTTTTCTCATGTAGGCTTCATTTCAACAGAAAATAGATGAACTCCCAGAAGGTTAAGAAGATCCAGTTAGTCAAAATAACGTATTTGCCCAGGTTATGTGGCCTGATAAACCTGGAAGAGTTAGAATGTTTGGTCAAGGGGTTACTCCATCAGATGTGTGGGGACAAGTTCCTAAGCGAAATACTTGTAGGCGTATAATTCTTGAACAACGAAAAGAATTGATAACACTCATCGATAGAGTTGGAGAGTTGGAAGAAAGAGTTCTGGAACAAAGAATGAGTCGTGTTTCACAAGCTGAATTTCAAAGCAATTCATCATCAAACTCACTTATAGTTAATCAATCTCTACAGGTAAATTTTATTTACACTTGAATAGGGTTTTTGGCCGAATTGAAAACTGGAAGAAAGAGTAAGCATGCTATTTTAAATGTAAAGTATTGTTTTGAATCCGACTTGTTGGTTTTATATTTTGTTTTGTGTGAATATTTACACATGAATTTTCTATTTTATAGTTAGGACATTTGTGTTGGTGTTTTCAATGTTTAAATGGAGCTATTGTATGCAAGAAATTAAACTGTTTGCTTATCATCTATTGAATGGGTAAGGTCTAAAAATTTTCTATTTTGGAGTGCTGTTGGGGGAACTTTTTTCTCCTAGATGTCAAATTTCTTTTTCTACTTTATTTGATAAAGGTTGTGTTTGCTTATCCTAGTTTACAATTATTGTCATGTCTTACAAATTGGATAATGATGTTTGATTTTTAAGGCGACATCGTTATATATATATATATATGTATATATTACTTGATATAATAAAGTTACTCATTGTAACTCGTGTTTTTCTTATTACTTATTTTCACTTCGATCACTATATTCAAGGTTGGTCAATATGTGTATCTCAAACCTTTCGCTGACCCAAACCAACTTGTCGCGAAAGGACGAATTGAAAGTTTAGATCCTTGTACTGAAGTTGGTGGACTTCCAATAGGAATTAATTGGTGCCAAGTTCTTGTTGAAGTAATTATTATCTCTGATGCACCGTTGATTAAAGGTTACAATCATTATGTGACTGTTCAAGATGCACACGGTGATTTGGTTGCCTGGCCATGTGCTATAGTAAGTAGCATTAACAATTCCAATACTTGTGTTATTTGGTTGCTTTGTCATATACATGTTCTTGAATTGTTAGTTTACTTAGAACTAACAATTCCAATACTTGTGTTATTTGGTTGCTTTTTCATATACATGTTCTTGAATTGTTAATTTACTTAGTACTCATTTGGCAGGTAACATCAGTTGAACAACGAAGTTACTTCCCTTAATACTCCACATTTGCAAAGCCAAAGATAACCATAGATGGCATAGTTTCGTTATTTGAAATTGTTCATGTTCTCATAGATTTAGTATACGATTCATAACTTGGCTTGTTTTAGGAGTTTCACTTTCTGTTTGTTATTTTTTAATTTGCTTGTATATATAGACATTGGTTGTAAAATTGTGTTATTATAAGCACAATTGTAAGTACAATTTCTTCATAAATATTGGTAGTAACTTTATACAATGTAGTTGTTGTAATACTTTTCTTTGAATACTAAATATTAGTTTAATTTTTTTTTACTACATTTACATTTCTTTGGTTTTTTTAAAACGTTCATTTTTCAAAAATAAAATTTTGTACATAAATTTAAGGCATATATTAAGGCAATTTCAAATGCCTTCATAAATGACTATCATGACATTTACGTAAGAAGAATTCTTGACACTATTCGGTAAGAGAAATTAATAGATAGTAAAAATTAAATAGTAAAAGGTTAATAAAAAATTACTAAATAGTTAAATAAGAGAGGGATTTTCATGACATTTAAAATTGCCTTAATAGCTCATTAAACCTAATGTGACATTGGTATCCACAAAATTAAGCAATGTCATTATAAGCCTAATGTCACTATAAACTACTTATTAAGACACAAAAGAGTGCCTTTTTACGTCATTTTTCTTGTAGTGATGCCTTGAACTTAGAAAAGTAAGAACAATATGGCATTTTTAAATGAAGATACAGTGTCTGTTAATAAGTAAGAAGAACGATTTGTGGGTTCATGTTCTAAGATCAAAATATGGCAAGCAGCAGATGAATTCTCTTATTTGAAAAAGAATAGGGATGCATGTCATATATGAAAAGGGATCTTTAATGTTTTCCGTTTGGTTCTGAAGGTCTTAACTTGGGTAGTTGGGAATGGAAGGCCGGTTCAATTTCGGAAAAATGTTTTGGTGGAGGGAGTGGGTAAATTTTGTTGATAAAGCCTACATCCTATACCAGAGGACTAGAGATCAAAATCGGTGGTGGAGTTTACTTTGCCTAATGGGAGCTAAGATGTTGCAACTTGCAAGGTTGAGTTCTTTCCTAAATTGGGACATGGTGGCTCAGATTGGTAGCATGCCTCTGCTGATGGAAGGCTCGGAGAAGGACAAATCGTGATGGATGTTTGACAAATCTGATAAGTTTTCTCTTAAGTTTGCATATTCTTTAGCTCTTGATGATTCGTTTTTATAGGTGGATTGGAAATGGATGAGGGGCTGAAACTGGAAAGGACATCATAGGACCTCGAACTTTCTTTTATTGGTTGTGCATGGAAGGCTTCTGACTATGACTGTGCAAAAGAGAGGAGCAATTTCAATAGATATTTGTTCTTACTATAATTTGGAAGGGGCAAAAAGAGAGGAGCAATCATGTGTTCCACGTGATTGAAGACATGTGATCTTCCTGCAAGAAATAAAGAAGTGGCAACGTAGCAACCTTAACATGGAGGATGTCAAGTGAAAAACCAATTTTTGGAGCTACCTGCTGGCTGATATGGAGTTTGAGAAATAATAAAGTCTTCAACAAAAGGTCTATAAACGCGATTACAACAGTTAGAATCGCAGTGCAAAGTTTTGTGAAAATTCAAAAAAAAAGAAAAAGAAAAAAGAAGTCAAGATTTTGTATAGCCACATCCAAGGCTATACAAGGCTGTAGTTTGTATAGCCACATGCAATGCTATAATAGGAGGGTTATTTAGAGATGATACTGGTCGTTTTGTCAGGAGATTTAACAATAATATAAGGGTATGCTAAATTGACACAATAGAATTGAGGCCAAATCTTATAGCAATTGAAGCTACAAGGTCACAGGGCGTTACCAAACTCGGGGTTGAAATCAATTCTCAAATGATGGTTGATATGATTAGTCGCTTAAGTGAATGTTAACAAATTTTCCTTGATCTGGAACTAAGAGGATATATAACCTTTTACAAGCTAACTAAGACGTGTGTTTTGTGCACACATGTATGATAAATAACTCATGCGTAGATGCCCTTACTAAAGAATTATAGAATTAGAAGTAGATAGGAAATTTTATTTTTTTTGATGTTCCCCCAAGATGTGTTACTTTATTATCAGAGTTAGATTTGAATAACTCTTTTGGTTTGTAAGTTAATGAAGCCTTAGTCACTAGGCTGAGATTACTGCAATGTTGTTTAACTCAGCTCGGGTTCCCACACTTAACCGTCTCGCATGATTATCCCGCATTCCCACATAAGGGTCGTTGCACCAACTCAAGTGCCTTGGGCAGGAATTCACATCCACCCGCTTGACCGATATAAGTCTTGCACGCCCCGCATCGGCCACCAAGACGTGTGCTTGACGGATGCACGGCCCCCGGGTGCAATCCGGAAGCGAGGTTTGCTGGAAAGAGCTAGGAGCTTCTAGAACTGTGGGACCCGTTTTGTACATGGTGGACAAATGCATGTCGGCCAAGGTGTAGGCTTGCATGTTAGAGTTGCTGCCAAGATGTACCATTGCATGTTGTAACTTTGTAGCCAATGCATGTTAGGCATTTGGTGTAATTGTAAGGGTGTTCCCTCCCCATTCTTGTATATATAGGGGGCCTTGGCTCATTTGAAGGCATAGAGAGTTGAGTTGTAAGCCCTTCCTTGTGTTTTGAGTAATAATACAAGATTTAACTGGTCTCCGGCTTGTATTTCTCGAGTCCCTTTCTTTCCCATTTCCGTTTGTCCCTTGTTTTCTCAGTTAGTCCCTTGTTTTCTCGGGAAGCCTAGGGCTGTCCCGAGTTTACCGGATTTTCTCAGTCCCGTTCTTCTACCGGTTAACCTTTCCCTACATTTCTCGGTTAGGTGAGTGCTGTCCCGAGTCTTGCTGCATTTTTCGGTAAGCTTGAGTACTTGTGCCGGGGCTTTGCTGCATTTCTCGGTAAAGCCGGTTGCCTGACCGAGCTTTGCTACATTTATCGGTCAAGTTGGCTGCTTGTTCCGGGTACTTTGATTGAAGGGTTCTGCTGAGTACTTTTACCGGGTGAGGCATGTGGTTGTCCCGGGTCTTCCTGTGCGGAAAAAGAGGCCCCCCAGGCCCCCTGCAAATAAAAATCTTCACAAGCTAATAAACTTATGGTTCAATGATTGCATACTTGCTAGGCATCAATGATTACATTGTTTGAGTCTAGTTCCACCCAACATGGATGGATCCCCTCAATTCCCACTCTCTTCATGCTTTGGAAAACATTGTTTCCCATCTCCTTCATCCCTTGCGCAATGATCATCGTAAAAAAACACAATAATCATTAAAAGAAAACAATCCACATGAATATCAAAAAATCACTGAATGATAATCACAAAAAAAAAAACAAACACAATGCCCATCAAAAATATTTTTGATTGCGTTCATCACTAGGCCCTAACCGTAAAAAGGGTGCTTAAACCCCTATACCCTAAACTCATAACCCTAAAACCCTAACCCCAGTTTGAATTTATGCATTTGGATTAGGCTAGAGTCTTGTAATAAAAATTTATTTATTCGAAATGCATCCATCACTAGGCTATAGTCCGTAAAAAGGATCCTTAAACTCCTAAATCTTAAACCCACTAAAATTTAACCCTTTTGATTAGGTTAGGCTTAATATTTTGTGCTTAAATTCAAAAATTTATTCAGAATGCACCTATCACTAGTCTCTACCGTAAAACGGATGTATGTTTAAATCTCTAAACATAAATTTGGTTTGAATTTAAGTATTTAGATTAGGTTAGGGTCTCATTTCTAACCTAATCAAAATATTTAGTACAAAAATATATTTGTAATGCATGCATCACTAGACCCTAATAGTAAACGGGATGGTTTAAGCCCCTAAACCCTAAATTCGGTTCGAATTCATAAAATAATATAATAATTATCAAAACTATTTTGGGCTAGGGATCCTTGGAAACCATTTCAAGTCAAATTGAAAAATCAAATTTCCTTCACGCTCAAAATTAAGCGCATGAAATACACTGTCCTTGGGAATCCATGTAGCTCCATGGATCTAATTCCACACAATATATTTCCACTTTTGTTATCTACTTTATTTCAAAAAGTTTTACCGGATAATAATTCTAGTTACAAACATTTCACTTTGACTTTTTAATTTGCTCATAAAAGGCAACTTTTATTGAATTAAAATAGTATAGGAACTAAAAGCTACACAAGATCCTTTGAATCATTTTTCTATGATAATTTTTGTTGCACAATCCAATTATTCTTTATAAATTATATAATTTATGTTAATACGTATACTATGTATGTATTTTCATTATAGATAATTTTTATGCTGTTATTTTATTTTTTGTATCAATATTTTATTTTTAATGAAATTTGACTATTTTTATTGAATTTTTTAACTATAAAAATTAAAATAAACAAGCCCTAACCCAAAAAAAGTAAATCCTTACTTTTAAAATATATAGTTTCGAAAGTGATTGTGAATGTTGTAAATATTAACACAAACGACAAATTTATACGGAGTTGTTAAATAGGGCAACAAAGAGTGTCACAAGAAAGTGGTACAGTTTGAGGATAGTTTAGATAGTTCGTGTAGTAAAAAGGGTTGTTAGATTGTGTGATCATTCAGTTAAAAATTTTAAACTACTGCCTCCGTCCCATAATTATTGTCCAGTTTGGATTTTCATTTATAGTTTAAATTGTACTAAAATTAAAATTTCAAACTGGACAATAATTTTGGGACAGAGGGAGTATTATTATTGGTTCTAGTTCGGGTTCGGTTAGATTCGCAAGAAAAAAATATTTTGCGGTACTTAAAGTTCTTCAATTGATAAAAGAGGAGATATGTTGAAAATATTGAATAGCTGAAGGGTTACCTTGCAATCTTACTCTTATAAATACTAGACAGGTTACGTCTGTCAAATATTAGTTCGGGTAGCCGGGAAGGTTTCTTTCCTTTCTTTTTATCAATTATATTATCATTATATTTTTTTACTGGAAAAATATCGACAAAAGAATAAACAATACCACAATCCAGAAACTTTTCCGCCATTTGATTTCACTGATTGCTACCATTTTCGGAAGCGCAAACCAAATCTCTTTGTTTCTTCGACTGAATTCGCCGAATTCCCCATAATTTATTTGAGGATTTTAAGGTTCCTTTATGCGAAGCAGTTTTACTCTTTTTCTTTTATTTTGCTCGTTTGAATTAATTTAAAATTTTGTTTTTACTGTTTACCAAAACGATATTTTTTGCTCCGATGATGCGTTTGACAAGTTATTATGGAATTTGAAATCTTGAATGCAATCGGTTTGTTTGTTTATCTGTTTGTTTAGCGAATGGATACCAACAATTGGAGGGCGGCTCAAGGCCAGATGGGTCCCGGTCCTCCTCAGAGTCAAGTCAGCGGTGGAGGAGATGTATCGGCGGTTACAAATGTTGCTCCTCCGGTGGCTATGGACACCAGTGATTGGAGGACTCAGCTTCAAGCTGATTCTCGTCAGAGGATTGTAAATAAAATGTAAGTCCCTCCCGAATTCTCTCTCTCTCTCTCTCTCTCTCTCTCTCTCTCTCTTTTCTTTTTAGTGTTATTGATAATTTTTATTCAAATCGTTTACCACGAGAGAAGGCGGCTTTTGGCATGTTTTTTAATTACTGGGACTCTTTGGGTGCTTTATAGTTTCTTGGGTTTTGTCTAGAATATCACTTGAGTTAAAATTGGAATCTTTTGGAACAATCTACACAATTATGGATAGGTGTTTTGTTGTCGAAGGGCATCTAACCTGACTATGAAGTAAATCGTGCTAGTTGTTTAATTTGCTGAATGACTAAAAGGATGATCTCTCTAATTAGATATTAATTTGAGCTATCTGTAAATTAGAAGAGTTAGATTCCTTATTGCTGATTTTTGAAAAACATTATCTTTCTTTCGAGTTTTATCTTTTGCATCAAACCTGACTATGAAATGCTTGCATAGCTGTACTTTACTGATTTTGATAAAGAAGCAATTCTAAACTGATGGAGAATTTGGAAATTTGGAGATGATAAAGTTATACAGTATGTCATTTTTTCAATCAGTGCATTGTTCCTCATGTGCAAGTGATAGCTATCTTTGAACCTTTAGGTCATTCACTACCCTGGGGAGTACAGATTTTGCTGAATTAGAAAGTATCTCTCTTTAGGCATAAACATTCTCGCAATATGTCAGTTTGATCAACCTTTCCCTAAGCTCGCGATCTTTTCCCATGTTAGAGAGACATGTCAAATGGAATTTAATCTTCACAGGTAAGTAACATGGCACATTATTATAAGCACATTTACCTACCTTATGAGGAACATCTATTCAGCCTCTTTTAAAGGAAAAAAGAACATTTCTGACTACTTATCTAACTCTACGAATATAACCTTTTCTCCTTTTTTTTGGGGGGGTGGGGGGTCAGTGGCAAATGTCATTTGCTTGGTAGGCGCTGAATAAAAATGAAATTAAACTAGGTGTGTGACTGGGCCTTTGTGTTTGACGCCTGGTTTGTTCCAATTCCTAGATCTATTATTTAGTTTTCTTTTTGTTGGAGTTTCGTTTCCCATTGGAAAGCGTGCAGTTTATCAAATCTTATGATCTGGTGGTGTAATAATGCATCATTGGTCTGTTTAATACCCGACATATGTTGATTAACTTACTAAAAAATTAACAATACAAAGTAGATACTGCTGTGTTACGTTTGTTCCTTAAGATGCTTTTCCTTTTTCGGTCCCAAAATGTGGATTTTTTCTTCACTCTGCGGGGAAGATATATCATATATTGCTTTCTGCGAAATAGACATTTCTGTTTGCATCCCTATTGTGTACCACTGGGAAGTATTTTGCCTAACTATTTTTTTTTCTGTGTACATTTTCTGTTGCTGATGGCTTAAGTGGAATTATTTATTTGTCTACTCATTGTGCAGAATGGACACTTTGACAAGGCATCTTCCTTTCTCTGGACAAGAAGGATTGCAAGAGCTTAAGAAAATTGCCATAAGGTTCGAGGAGAAGATATATACTGCTGCAACAAGCCAGGTTTGTCATGCAAAGCGTTTGTGTGTTATTGAATACAAAATCGAAATACTTAAATCATTCTTTGCTTATTTGTGCCAATAGTTTGAGTTAACTTTTGTGTCCTTGGAAAAAGATTATTGGTTTTCTCATGGTTTTGTTGTCTGGTTGGATGTCATGTGTTCTATTGCAGTCAGATTATTTAAGGAAGATATCCATGAAGATGCTGACTATGGAGACGAAGTCACAAAATCCTGCGGCTAATGCTCTCCAACCGAACGCTGCTAATTCTGGGAAAACCCCACCTGATCAAGGTAATACTGTTGGTATCTTCAATAGTCCTCTGTAAAGAACTTCTCCCTTTAAAGCTGTCATCACTAGGTACTCCTAATTTTTTGTTTGTTGTTTATTATTTGTATTTCGTTGTTTACAATGTGGCAAACTATGTTATTGAAAACTCTGTCTATGCCCACATTATTTTTTGCAGTTGCAGGAAGTGATCAGTGCTATCTGGCGTTTGTGTTATTGTGTTCATATTTTGTACTTTTTGTGCTTATCTGCCCACATTAACTTAGGGCTTGTTGGTTCTAGTTGAGTGGACTGAATTCGTGAAGCAAGATTTCTTTCTGTTTAATTCATTTACTGAGCTAGCATATCATGGTACTCTTATACCCTTTTGGTTCCCTTTGTTCCTAATGTCATTTGAAATATGATTGCAAGTTGTGGAATTCAGCTGTCTTTTATGTTTGACCACTTTTCATTTGGTTTCAAAGCTTGGGGTCCTTTTCACTGGGTTGATAATAGTGGAGGAATTTAAATTATTTTTTGGTTATTTTAAAGAAACCATAGAAAGTTCTCCCCAATTGGTCTTCAGTGTGGCTCTGCTAATAGAAAGCTTAGTTTTGGTGCTCCGTAAATTGGCTTGAAAATAGTGCTTCTTGGCGCATCAGATTTACTAATATGCTTTAGAACTTGTTCTTTCCCTTCAAGTTGTATCCTCTATCCACGCATAAAAGCTTCTCTTGATGATGATTGGAGCCTGTTCATTGACCCGTAAATTGAGTTATAAATGTCTTTTATAGGGTCTTAGTTGCTACATTTATTTATTTATTTATTTTTTATCTGTCGATTTTAGCTGTTTATAGCTTGCCTTCAGTGAACCTTATCATAAAGCAATATATTGCTTGCTCTATGAACTTGTCCGTGATGCTTTGGACTTTTTGTCTCTGCTAATTTTTCAAAAAGAGGATGCCCTGTGAGTTGGGTGTTGGGACTTGGGAGTTTCTCTGGGTATTAATATAGTGGGGTTAGTTTCAGTATTGACAACGTGGGAAACCAGTAAGTTCATTTTGGGATATTAAGGAGACAATAAATGGAGGAAATTAAGAAGATGATGAAAGAGAAAAGAGAACTATATTTCCATGTGGATAATGAACTTCATCTACCGTTCCTACAAAAACTAATCAACTGTATCAGTGAGCACTTGGGAACAATTGTGGAGAATTTGTTGTTTTATTGAATATGGAGCCCGTTCATTCTCCTGGATTAACCTGGCAACAGTACAACAACTGCAACAACATCATCATACCCAGTATGTTCCCAACTTGGTTGGGGTGTTTTGGGGGGCAAGATGTATGCATCCTTACCCCTGTATTTCTATAAAGAGGCTGTTTAAGTAGTACTGACCCAAGATGCATTGGTGCATTGATGTATTGATTTCCGGCAACTTCAGCAAAATTAAGAAGCGCCAGAATTTAAATGAGCCATCTTGATCTAATCGATTAGTAGCAGAAAGCTGAAAAAAATTGTCAATGATGAGACTTCCAGCTCCATTTGCAATTGGCAACAGTGTATCAAGGAAATCATTACAGTAGGACATGGTTCCTTAGTTGGCAATAGAGGTGGTTCTGGTACGATATTTAGATGTATCCTAGACAGGTCAAGTGATTGAGTTTCTCTACTTGTGTCTGACCCTTGTCAATTTCATTGGGTTGTGGGTCTTCTGTTCAGCAGTTTCTGGGTTTCAGTTGTTGAGAGTATTTGTTAAACTTCTGGCTTCACGAATTTCCTGTATTTTAATTTCCCATTTTCCAGTCCTTGTTTTAAATGTAGTTTCAGTCTTCAGATATTGCGCCTGAATAATGTGCCTGAGTACAGGTTTGATTTTTCTTTTAGTAATGTGCTGAATTTGGAACAGTTTTGAGAAAGAATCCATGGTTCTTTTACTGGTGTTGGTGTCGTTTTCTTTGGCACGTTTTGATGCTAGTTCCTTGTTCTACATGATTTCATTTGAGCGTTTCTAATTTATGTGTGCGTCCATCATTGGCTTATGGTGGCAGTACATGGCATCCAATCCCAAATTCCAAACCAGCAACTTTCCATGCCGAATCAATCACAACCACGTCAACAGCTTATGTCCCAAAACATGCCGGCAAACATTGCATCAGCTGGAGTGCAACTTCCAAATTCTGTGAACCTGGCTCAGGGTGGCATGCAGAATGTTATTCCTCAGAATTCGAACTTGCAGAACATGCAGAATATGTCCAATGTTGCTCAGAATTCTGTAGGAAATTCTATGGGGCAAGGGATTCCATCAAACGTTTTCAGCAATTCACAAAGAATGTTGGCCGGAAGACAACCGGTAGTCCCCCAACAGCAGCAGCAACAGCAACAGCAGCAATCACAGCAGCAACACTCACAGAATGCTCCGAATTATCTCTATCAGCAGCAGCTGCCAAATCATCAACTGATGAAGCAGAAATTCCAGCAGGGAAGTATGGCCCAATCCTTAATGCAGCAGCAGAACTTAATACAACCAAGTCAGGTGCAAAATTCACAGCAAGGAATGCAGCCACCCACAATGCAGTCGGCTTCTCTCTCTAGCCTTCAACAGAATCCGCAGCCATCTGTTCAACAAGTTACACAACCGGTTCTCCAACAGCAGTCCCAGACAGTCCTTAGGCAACAACAGCAGCAACAGCAACAGCAACAGCAACATCAGGCTTCTCTCGTACATCAGCAACAGACATCCATTTCTCAGCAGACATTACCCCAAGCCACACAGCAGGCTCAGCAGCAACAGCAGCAACAGCAGCAGATGCTTGGACAGCAGTCTAACGCATCAAATCTTCAACACAATCAGCTGATAGGCCAACCAACCAGCATTCCTGATATGCAGCAGCAACAACAAAGACTGATTGGCCAACCGAGCAATATGCAAAACATGCAGCAGCAGCCGCAGCAGCAGCAGCAGCACCAGCACCAGTTAATGGGTCAGCAAAGCAGCCTGTCGAATATGCAACAGCCGCAGATGGGCCCTCAAGGTAATGCTTCTGGGATTCATCAGCAGACTATGCTTGGCACTCAATCTGCAAACGCTAGTATGCAAACAAATCAGCCTTCCATGCACATGCTACCTCAATCTAAGGTACCAGTGCAGCAACAAATGCAGCAGAATGCAATGAGTTTGCTGCCAAACCAGAACCAACTATCACAACAACAGGCATCACAGCAACAAATGGTTTCACACGTACAATCACAGCCGGTGCCACTTCAACATATGCCTCAGCAATCGAGCTCATTACAGAGAGAGATGCAGCAAAGGCTTCCAGCCTCTGGTCCTTTGCTTCCGCAGCAGACTGTTGTTGAACAACAGAAACAGTTTCAGCAACCAAGAGCCAACCCTGAGGCATCATCAAGTTCGTTCTTTTCGTTCTGAACTTCTGTTGTCTGTTCTCTTTTGTGTACCCTTTGCATCCTCACATGATTCACGTGATTACTGTTTCTCCTACTTTAGCTTTATTTAAATGGTTAACTGAAAAGTTTTATTTTATTGTTCTTCTGGATTGCATGATTTTCTGGACATTTTAATGTTAATCTGATATATGACGTAATTGACTATGATTAGGGTCTGGAAATGAGAAACTTCTATTTTAGTCAAACTTGTGCATTTGAATAGCTGAAACTAGTGCATTTAATTTTATGACTTCTTCCTCTTCGCAATGTGCAACATTTCCATTTGGTTGGGGGAGTCTAGGATTCATCTTTGTATGGAGATATCATGGGTAATTGGACAGCTCACATCGTAATTTATCTTTTCTTTGCATTTATTACTTGTCGTATAATGAAAAGTAACATGAACTTGTTATCGTGCTTAGATTCTTTAGATTCTACAGCTCAGACGGGAAATGTAAATGGTGGAGATTGGCAAGAGGAAGTTTATCAAAAGGTAAAGTTACAAACTTCTGGAGATGAGTTTGAGTTGATATATTCAGATATTATTTCAATACATGGCTAACGAAGTCGCCTGCGGTGATGCAACAATATTCTGCAGATCAAGTCCATGAAGGATACATATTTCGCGGAACTGAATGATATGCTCGTGAAAATAGCAACCAAATTGCAGCAGGTACAAGTGTTTAGTTTCATTTAGCCTGTGTTGAATAGCTTGTTACTTTTGGTTCAGTTACTCATAGACTTTATTTATTTATTATTTTTTTGTGGGTGGGGGGTGGGGGTGGGGTGGGGGTGGGCTGGTGATTTAACGCGGTGTTATTGGACTTATGTGGTAGGGAAAAAGATGAACGTTTCTGATTGGAAGAATGTCTTACCGATGTTAGATATTTTGTGTCTGTACACCTGTATGGTGTTTTTGATATTTGTTTGTATCATTTCCATACTTTTGCAGCATGATTCTCTTCCCCAACAGCCAAGGCATGAGCCGCTAGAAAAGCTTCGGTATTTTAAGCTTATGTTGGAACGCCTTGTTGGATTCCTGCGTATCAACAAAAGTGATGTACAGATAACTCACAAAGATAAGTTGTCTGCTGTTGAAAAGCAGATCTTAAGTATTCTTAACTCAAATAGGCCCCGGAGGCCTGTCCAACAAGGGCAACTAAGCCAGCCCCAAATGCCTTCTGCTCAGCACTCACAGGCTCATCAAGTTTCTCAATTGCAACCCCAGGAAAACCAAATTAACTCTCAGATGCAGCCAATGAATCTACAGAACTCGATGACGACCCTCCAGTCGAATAGCTTGTCCAGCCTGCAACATAACTCATTGTCTTCTCTTCCCCCGGTTTCAAGTTCTCAGCAAAATATCATGAGTGTGGTACAGCCTGCTTCCTCCTTGGAGATGGGGCAAAGTAATGCAATGAATTCGCTTCAGCAGATAGCTGTTAACACTTTGCAGGCAAATCCTATGGGCGGCCCTCAAACAATGAACATAAACTCTTTATCATCACAAAGTGGAGTAAATACTCTTCAATCGAATATTAATTCCCTACAGATGAACTCCAATCTGATTCAGAACCAGCATATAAAACAAGAACAGCCGACATTGCCGACCCAGCAATTGAAACAACATATGCAACAACGTCACATGCAACAGATGTATGCCAGACAGCAGCAGCTAATGCAACAGCAGACGCATCACCAGCAACAACAACAGTCACAACATCTGCAACATCAGCAACAACAACTGAAGCAGCAGCATCCTTCGCAGTTGTCTGGACATCAAATGTCACCACTTCACCAGATGAGTGATTCTGCTGACATAAAGGTAAGGCAACATATGGGTGCTAAATCAGCTGTTTTCCAGCAACATCATCCCAATGGCCAACGTGCAGTTTATCATCATCCATTAAAGTCTGGAAGTCCCTTTCCTGTTTCTCCACCTCAAGTCCTTCAGCATCATTCCCCACAGGTTCCTCCTCATCCTTCTCCTCAAATTGATCAGCAAAGTATGCTGTCATCTATTGCAAAAGCTGGAACACCATTGCAGGCTACAAGCTCACCCTTTGTAGCCCCATCTCCCTCCACCCCCATGGCTCCATCTCCTATGCCCGGGGAGTCGGAAAAATTGAATTCCAGCCTTTCATCACTCTCAAATGCTGGAACAATGGGACACTCGCAAGTACCTACTGCGAATGCCACAGCCCAGTCACTAGCCATTGGAACCCCCGGGATATCAGCATCGCCCTTGTTGGCAGAATTTAGTAGCTTGGATGGAGCTCATGTGAATGCATCAACTGCAGTTTCTAGCAAGTTGAATGATGTGGAACAGCCGCTTGAACGGCTAATTAGAGCGGTTAGATTTCTGATCCATTTAAAAGCTGCTTCTGGATTCCCATAACACTCTTTTAACTTTTTGCTAAATTGATAAAGTAAGAATTTGACATGTATTTGTCATTTCCAGGTGAAATCAACATCCCACAAAACTTTGTCTGCTTCAGTTGGTGATATCAGCTCAGTTGTGAGCATGGTTGATAGAATAGCTGGATCTGCCCCAGGTAATGGATCGAGAGCTGCTGTTGGTGAGGATCTGGTTGCCATGACAAAATGTCGTCTGCAGGCCAGGAATTTTTTCACACAGGATGGACCTGCTGGAACAAAGAGAATGAGACGGTCTACAAGTGCAATGCCATCCAATGCGATTTCATCTATTAGTAGTGTACATGATAGTATGAAGCAATTGAATTGCCTTGATGCCTTAGAATTGGAGTCTACAGCTACATCAGGCATTAGAAGACCTAGGATTGAGGTAAATCCTGCTCCATGTATGCCATAATGTTAAGTGTTGAAGCCATCCTTGGATGTTTGCAAGTGATAGTCATGTGAAACCATCCCTGTGTTTGGGTTAGAATGAATAAGGCTGATTTTATTCCATTCTGTTTGTCCTAGGAAAAATTAAACTGCCATCCAGTATCAATCTTGTTTTGCATAGCTTGGTTCTTACTCAGTTGTGTGATTCTTTTATGCTAGTTTTCTAGTTAAGATGTTCTACTTGTACAAGCCAAGGCATGCATTGCATTAAATGTCTATCAATGCCTAATTGTAAATGTCTTGCTTTAATTTGTTTGTTGCAGGCAAACCATGCCCTCATCGAAGAGATCCATGAAATAAATACACAGCTAATAGAAACTGTGGTGGAGATCAGTGATGATGATGTTGATCCAACTGCTGTGGCTGCTGCAGCTGAAGGTGGGGAAGGGATTGTAGTGAAGTGTTCTTTCAGTGCTATTGCTCTGAGTCCAAATTTGAAATCACAGTATGCTTCAGCACAGATGGTGAGATGCTAATGCTTTTTAGTTCTCAAGATATCATAATTTTCTTTCGTAATAGTACCAGCAATAATTGTTACGTACCTCTGCCGCTTTGCAGTCACCTATTCAGCCCTTACGATTGCTTATTCCAACTAATTATCCAAAGTCTTCCCCGGTACTTCTGGACAAGTTCCCTGTAGCTGTGAGGTAAGGAAGATGTATTTTTATTATGCTTTCATTTCATGGACTGTATAGACTTTACTGGGTATTATGCTATGATGCATGATGGTAGAAAACAAGGCTGTGTCTTTTGATGTTGGGGGAGTTTCCAGAGCATCACTTAAAAAAAAAGAGATTGGAAAGCTTTCTCTCTCTTGAAAACAGAGATTATTTTGGTGGAAATTTTCGATAGGTAGAAGAGAAGAAATGTCTTGGGCAAAGAATATGCGAGGGGAATTTTGGAGGGATTGGAAATTTTAGGTTTCAACTATGAATATGAATGAATCCTGTTTGGATTAGGTTCTTTTTCGGAAAAAGACGAGTAAGGATCCATTGGAAGAAAGTAACATACAAATCCTCAGCTTTATGACATTTTGAACTGCTGAAATGAAAATCCCAAAGCATAGGGGTCATATGATCCATGAGCTGTTATTAATGGTTCCAATTTACTTTGGGCCTTATTATCCAATGGACCTAGGGTTGAGGAACTTGCTTATTTCACCTCAGTTCCTTCTCGAATATCTCAGTGCTACTATAAATCTGTTCAGATGATCTTGTTTGTGTGTTAACAATCTGGATGTGGATAAGTCCTTTTGAGGATCTAGATTGTCATGGTGTGTAAATTCTTGTTTCCTTCCCACCAAGTGAATGGTAGCGGTGGGGCTCATTCGGATGATAAGCTATTGGGATTGATGCATAGTAGACTTTACACTGGAATATTGTATTAGTAATAGATTACAGATGTGGATGACACAAAGATAGGTGACTTGTGGAATGCGCTATGAAACCAACCTTTTTATGCTGAGGGCTGACACCATGAATTTTTGTTGCAACTATTTCCTTATTTGGCCTCTAATCACTTTCTGCGTTTTGATACTATTTCCAAGATCTTTTGGCTAAAACTGGATGGCATTATCTTATATGCAGTAAAGAGTATGAATATCTTTCAATGAAGGCCAAATCAAAGTTCAGTATCTCCCTCAGAACTCTTTCACAACCTATGTCTCTGTCCGATATGGCAAGAACATGGGATTTCTGTGCTCGTGCGGTTGTGTCAGAATTTGCACAGCAAAGTGGTGGAGGGACCTTCAGCTCAAAATATGGTACTTGGGAGAGTTGTTTGGCCACTACTGCATAACTTATGAGATAAGGAGAGTGATGCGGACGAGTGCAGTGCTAACTTGGTCAGCATCATCTGATTGAAGCCTCCTGTATTTCTGGGTTGTCCGGTACAACATGGTGCTGTGGGAGTGTTCATGCCACTTTGTATGTGTGTTAATATAATGCAGAAGGTTTGATGTGTTACTGGAATGCATTAGGCTTTTTTGTCTCCTTTCAAATAAGAGAAGAAACAATTTTTGGGAAGTTAACAATGAATGATGAATATAATAATTGTAAATAACTAGTGTGAAAGTATGAGTTAAGAACGGACCAGATAAAAATGTATAAATCATTTTGTGCAGAATTAAAAAAGAATAGGTAAAAGAGATAAATATAAATGAGTTAGTCATAAAGTTGAGGAAGGCAGAAAATGACAAATAATTTTGTGTACAAATAGACATGGACAATTGGACATGACAGTCTCCATATAAGTTGCAAACTAACCATATTTGCTCTCCAAGCCTCATAACAGTGAACAAATTTGAGGGAGTTTTGATATGAAAGGTGAAGAGATTCTACTGAAAAATGGCAAAAAGATTGCTGGGAATTTGCAGGTAACAGATCCTGCTTTCGTGCTGTTGTTAGTCAACAAATGGGTGCAACTTTTTCCTCGTGTCAATCCGGGTGTGTCTGATCAAATCGTACTTAATTTTGGTGTGTAAGAAAAAGGATTACTGGCCACAAAGAGCTAAAAGTTTATGTGGTACCACGATTGAGAGTTTTCAAGTCCAAGATGTATGGGGTTAAGAAATAAAGTAAATAAATAAATAATCAGATGATTCTTCTTTATTAAGTGATAGATATACATTTTATATGTGATCATACTCCTACTGTTATCATATCTAGTGCCCTCTCACTTGGTACATCATGAGATTTTATGAGATTTCTTGCACCACCTAGTTCACAAAATATAGAACTGGGAAGGAAAAGATCTACGGAGACCATGTCCATATTAGACGGCGATGTATATGCTATTCGTTTAAAGTATTCATATTACATTTGTTGTTAAAGGTTTGCAAAAAAATTCAAGGAATTAGTGATGAAATTATTCAGCTGCGGAGTTTGTAAGTTGTAAACATTAAAATTTTTCTAGTAAGGCTGAAAACGTTCTTAGATTATATAGAGGAGTTTCATGATGTCTTTGTAGGTTGAGAGTGCAAATGGAAATGAGCTTTCCTTCCAGGTGCTTTATGTGCAAGGAAACAAATCCAAACAAAAACAGTAAGCAATTTCTCCCAGAATTTGCACAGCAAAGTGTATCAGAGACTTCAGCTCAAAAGTATCCTATGCTTAACATTTATCCTACTTCCTATAATAACCTATATCGTGAGCTTAATGCTGATACAACATATGATCTTAACATCTATATCGTGAGCTTAATGCTGATACACCATATGATCTTCTGAATGAATGCAATACACTTTACGTGTGATCCTTGTACCTAAATCCCGCGTTACCAGTATGCTTATTCAGCTTAGATTGGTCACCGATGGAATCATCATCTCACTTCTGTTGTGTGATGTCTTGAGCTACTAATCCACGAAAGAACTACTATCACCACGATAACAGTCTTCCCAGCTACCCTGAGTCTGATAATTTCAATGGCGATATCGTTCAACCAAGAATGGTTTGAATGTTAACAAGACTCCAATTGCTTCAACAACATTCAAGATGAAGAAAACTAGATGAACCCCTGCGTTTACAAAAATAAAAAAAATAAAAAACTAAAAAAATGAAAAAACAACGACATGAATGCTACATAAACTTTTCTGTGCAGACTGAAATATTCATTGATGATGGAATCAAGATGAGTCTTAACAGACATTGTGTAGTCCGAAAAAGCGTATAAGTAGCGAAAGCTCATTCCTGGAGTATAGAGTAACATATCAACTACCTCTTTTACCCTTTCAGCTGTATACACTTTGCAAACATCCTCTTCGTTTTGGATTTCAAGCACAAGCATAAAATAAAAATCCAGTAACCTATTTTGATTCTTCGGAAACTGGGATATATGCTATTTCGGATCTCAGACCATAACTAAGTTTTGCATGCGATTTGATATAACTGAAGCTGTGAATAATGTTACTGATACAATTCCACTCATTCTAAGGGCCCTTTTACGTAAAAGATGAATAACCACTCCTATATGAAACCCAAAAATCATAGAAACAGAAAACTGAGGCGAAAAACTTACCTGGGAGAAAAGCAGCATGTTGACGCTTTTGCGCAAAAGAAAGGCTGCACGAATAGATAAGTCCGAGTTATTCAGCTGTTGTAAAGAACATCAGAATTCATAATTATCTGTACTAAGAACATCAGAATTCACAATATCCTAAGCAAATACATTGTAGAATAGCTCTCTCTTTCCAACAAGTATCTACTATTTGAACAGTAATGCAAATTTCTGTGCAATTGGCAGATATCTGCAAAAGTGGTCATGTATTTCATATATGGCGGTCCGTCTTACTGTTTGCTGGAACAAATAGCGTTTGCAACCTTAAGCACTTTTCAGATGTATCCTTAGATGAAGAATCACATAAGGGAATATATGCATGGGGAAAATAGGGGACACGGTCCAGTCACATCAGTCCTCAAACGTACAACAAAAACTCAGAAAATCATATTTCAGCTGTTGCCTCTAGCTATATCGTTCTTGATGATGATGGAGTCTCATACAAAGGAAAGGAAAAGAGGACAAGATTTATAATACAGGAAACAAACTTCTATAAGTTGGTTCACTTTGAAGTGAACATGATTTTATCTCAGCAATATTTCAGTTTCTGCCAGAAAGACCTAGATGTTTGAAGCAAAGAAAATCGACAGCCCACATCATGAGCAAAATTAAAAATCATGGTAGCAATCAACCGACTAAGTTCAGCATGAGAATTAATTCATGCCTTTCTTTTTTCTTTTTCGTTTTTTTTTTCCATTTCTGAATAGTTCCATGTGTTTCGTGGCGTATATGAGCATGGACACTGCTGGATATGTCCTCCAAAAAGTAAGTCAATCATATGAAGGATGTAATTTGACTATAAATTCATTTCAGATAAGGAATGAAAACTCATTTATGTAACACTATGAGGAGAGTTGAAAACCTTGGGAAGGATTCTACTTCTTTTAGAAGGGTGCTAAGAAATTTATTATAGTAACAAGTGGCACTCACATTGCACCTCCAACAGCTGGACCTAAAGTTTTGAAAAATGACATTCCTGTCATGGCAATGCCATTGGCAGCTCCCCTTTGGTGTTGGTCCTGTAAGATTGTTACCAGACAGGTCCAGATGTCAGAATTGAAGCATCAGGATGATTAATGTTTCCACTGCTAGAGCAAGTTCAGAAAAATTTACCACTGCATTGTTCTGGAGTATGAACAAACCTGTAATGATGGAGGTCTGTAATAACAAATCGTTACTAGAAAATGTTAGAGCTCAAAGATCAAAGCAAACAAAAGCCACTGAACTTGAATAAGTGAGAAATTTTGGCATTTCACAAAAACAATAACAAGAAAACCGAGAACTTGAGAAGGGTAAAATGTTAAGGAGCTAAGAGATACTTAAAACTTGGATATCATTAATTCAAATAGGTAAATCATCAAAGAAGTACGTTTTTTATCAAGGAAATAATTTCACCGCAGTTAATGGAAATTTGCGAAGGGTTTCAGTTGTTCGAATGTTCATAAAAGTAAAAGGTTTAATTTTATCAAGCAACAGATTAGCATCAGTATAAGGGAGGCGAGATGAAGACAAACACAAATGTAAAGACACAATTATTTCATACAAGTTTCATATTGTTGTGAGAAGAAATTTTAAATTGAACTAGATGATTGTACTCTTAAATTCTTTGCGACATCAGCAACAGACCTGAACGAACAGGTTTCTTAAAAGTAACAGTATTGAAGACAATCTCAATCAACAATGTTGCTTAGACATGTAGGCTCTAGTTGAAAAGAGATCTCCATGGGGATTAAAATTTCCAACTGCTGAACTGAAAGCGTATATACTCGCCATCCAAAGCAGAGGTATGAAAATAATGTGTCACTTAAGGCATTAAGCAAATTCATTTAAAACCATGGTATTGCAAATGAGTGCTTATGTGAAAGCTATTGAAAACAATGCAAATACAAATCAGGTTTCACGAATTCAAAAAAAAAAAAAAAAAAACCGCATCTACGCAATGAAGCTCATTAAAGTTAATTCATCTGAAATAGATAAGGTAGACATGAGAAAAAATTCCAAAATGACAGATTGTACCAACCAAAAAAAAAAAAAATGGAACTCACAGAATGGACAAGTATGCTGGATGAGAAAAGAATCAAGGAAATCACTTATTCAAACTAAGAATTCCTGTGCTTCTAGAGGATCCATAAAGAGGAGTATAAGGACATTTTCCTAATTTACTGCTTTTAAAAGGAAGACAGCACAGGAGGTATAAACAGAATTGGCGAATAGTATCACTGAAAGGTATGTCATTGAATGATGCTAAAATAAGTTATAAGAAACCACACAACTCTTTTCCTATACCGCTATCTTATAATAATGGTTTTGTCTGGTCTATCTTTCCACGTTTCAAACGACCTAGAAGTAGAAGAAGCCATCTTGAAACACGGATATTTCAGTTCTGAATTTGTGCATTTGCAAAATGTATCTAGTTACTTATTGGCTCAAAATTATAAGTGAGCCAGTATATCGTGGAAGAATGGATCCTTGAAAGAACTCACCGATAAGACATTTTTCAGAACAGAAGCACAATTTAAGACCACCGAGAGGACAACACCAGAAAGCAGTGCTATATAGGGGTAGCTGGTCAGAAGAGGTATTGATACAGCCTACAAATTGATATTTTCACATAATAAATTATCCAGTTACTCAAATTGAATTTAAAAAAGATTTGAAAAAATCGAGTTTATTTCACGGGATCAAATATGGTTGAAGTGCTTACTCCTCCAATTCGAGCAAGCATAATTGGGCCCAGCTTTTTCTCCACACGTGGAAACAAAAAGAGTTGGAAGATTAAAAGGCCAAAACCTGCAAGTTAGCAAAAGATCAATGCTCGAACTGTTCTCTGCAACTGTGCAACAAATTAAAAGGTGGCAGAAAAAAGGCGCTGAGAGTCTAACCAACCTGAAATTGCTAGAACTTCACCAATCGATTGAGTTGTATAACTTAAGCCACCAAATTTCTTAGGGCTCACTGCCCACAGTGAGAATATCTAAAGAAAGTCAATAGCATTTAAGTGATATCTGCTAATATAAATGGGTCGAAACAACAGCAGCAAAACAATTTTAAGGGCGAGAAACATGTTTATTGTCAATCGTGGTGCGAAAACCAGATCCAAAAACAGTAAGCAAGGAAAAAACCAACTGAAAAAACACCCTTCATTGAGAAGCAAAAAGATCAAAACATTCAATCAACAATGTACTACATTGTTGTTAAATATACCTCTGTGTAAGCCATATCATGAAGTGAAAAAATGCAATATACTATTATGGATGACATCAATGGCCAGTTCCTGAAGAGACTTTTAGAAGAAGTATTTTGTCTTTCTTGTGCTTCCTTGGATCCTTGCAGTGCAGCCTCCAACGCATCATATGACTCGGGACGAGGACCAGCAGGTGGAGGATGGTTGTGCAGTGTTTCCTGCAGTTAGCAGAATACCTTAATATCCAGATTACTGTCATACAGCAGATGAGTGATAATGAGTTGAAGATGTTAACTTAGCTTATGAACAAGACCTTGCTTTTCACAAAGAAGCCGTTAACTTCTACATGTTTAAACAGAATACTAAATAACTTATTTCATTTTCTCCTCTAAAAAAACACAATAATATCTTCAGAAGATTATGGCTGTCATCAGGATGATTACTAGGTTTCATTTGTATTGTTAACTTGTAGATCCTTAAACTGAAAACCATTATATCTGAAGGCACTGCTATGTGTAAAAGAGGGAAAGAACTGAAAATGACAACATGTATTAAGTACATACCGGGAGCCAATAAATAGATACCACCACAACCACTGCAAAGGCTGATATAACAAGGCATGGCAAGAAATATGGAAATCTGCAAAACAAGTCACATATTTCAAACTTGAGGAAATATGAAAGTTGAATGACAGAAATATTGTACACCAAAAACAGTTACCTTCCAAAGATAGAAGCTGAAGAAAATATTGCCGGATATTGCTCTGCTGGCTTAGTTGGAAAAAAGAACTCCAAATTAAAGATGTCAATTTACATTATGAATAGTGAATAATACGTAGACCTATCTCATAGAATTTCAGAAAATTAGGATAAAGCACGTAACTGCACACAATCTCTAAGTTTAGCACATTGTACGCTGACTATATTAATAAAAGTATCATTGATAGCCAGTTCAACCTTGCAAAACTGGTGCTGAACAAGCACTCTGTAAAAATATGTAGAAGTAGTTCACTGAGACAAAAGAACTTTGATATCTATTTAGTGAAAACTTGTTTACAGACTGAAGATGAAGACATTGGTCTTTCAAACAGAACTGCAGCAAATGGCAGCAAATGAATCAGAACATCTTCATCATGGGGCAGAAACTGTACCTGTGCAAGAAAGCCACCCAAAGCCGGGCCAATGATCAATCCTATTGCCCATGATGTGCTAATCTGTAAAAGAATATTTAGGGTTCAAATGGACAATAAATCTAGGATTCTGTTATTCTCAAACTCTTGTGATTCTGTGCCAGATTATAATATGTTTACTAAGGCAGCATTGCAATTCAAAAGCAATATGGTGATGATGTGAGTTCCTTACTGCTGAGAGAGCCAAAGCTTGATATTCTGACCGGAAAATCTCAGTTGCATATGCCTGGACACAGACAGGATTAGATCATAGGTGATATCAGTAATCATTGAACACAGACTGAAATGAGAACCAGGGTAATAGCTTCACTCTTCATGGACAGATGTAAAGGCAATTATATATAAGTCCATGATACCTTTATCGGTCCAAGTAACCCATTAAAAGCACCAAGACAGAATCTTGCAGAAATTGCCATCCAGTAGTTCACACTAAGGCCAAAAATAGTGTTGAAGACAATTCTGAAAAACCAAATGAAGTCTTGTTATGATATAGCTCCTCACAATTATAGAGCCCAAATGGAGGTAGAATAGCTAAACTTACACTGCTATAATGCTCAGCAGTATTACCGGTTTTCGTCCATATCTATCAGCTACTAGACCCCAACTTACAGACGTTAAAGTTCTCCCAAGCATGTATGCTGCGCCTTCATGTGTATGCATGGACAAAATCTATCAACATGTAGAAATTAAATAAAACCTTTACTAAAGCATAGTGCCCCTACCTACATAGCCGGCGTAGGAGTTAATGTCCTCTTCCCTTCCAGCGACATGGAAGTCTCTTACCTGAAACAATAAGGCTAGTTGCCCTTAACAATCTACAAATATAACACGTATTCGGATATGAGGCCAAAAATTCAGGCCTCGGTTTAGGCATCTAAATGAAATTTTCAGTACAGTGAAAATAGTGAGAAGAACTTAATGAAAAGCCAAGAATTCCAAAGAGTGCTGAATTACATAGGGAGAAAACAAATGAGGAAGCTGACTTGGGAATTATAAATTTTCCACTAGTATATCAAAAGTTCTTGAGAGATCTTGGCAGCCTAATCAGCAGATACATCCATTATATCTAAAAACTTAGTGAACAAGATCATAGGAAAGGAAGTTTCATGAATATCCATTCCCACTTTTCCTAGTAGTGAATCTGAGACTTATTACTACATGCAATCCTGAGAACATCATTACTGACAGAAGCTAGTAAAGATTTCTGTAAAAGATTATGAAACTAATCTTAAGATCACATCAAATAGAAAAAGAAGCTACCCCATTCACTATTGTCCGGATAGAACTACATCAAATTGCTCTTCTCACCATCATTTCTGGCATTCTAATCGGGTTTATCTCGCCGTGGTTAGAAGAGGAAAACAATGTATGCAAATACCATATTATTGCCTACTGATTATCTGCTCTAAGCTTACTGAATTGGTGATGAAATTTCATCAGCTTTTGACAGGCCTAGAGATTGAGTACAAAAAACTGTCATCCAGGCCATCAGTAAGGCATCTCAAAACTAGGCTATGAAAATACTTCAACACAAAGCCAAACGAGGTCAGGGGAAAAGAAGTTTACTTACCATAAAGTAGAGAAATGGAAAGAGAGATGAAATTGGCAGAGCTGAGAACCAAGAAAAGAAAGAAAAGAAAATGTCAAGGAATGAGTTGTGAACAAGAGGGCATGCAACCAGAGAAAGAAGATACAAATGATCAAAACTTGGTTTACCATTTTCCAACCTGAGCACTCCAAAACTCAGTTGAATGAGAAACATAAATATATGTTCCCACCACCATACATATCAGAGAAACTATTCTGACAGATTTGATTTTAAAAAAAGAAAAAAAAAACTGAAAATGGAACATGGTAAAAATATTAAGCCTAATAATTTGGCAAATAAAACAGGTTGAACACCACTGTTATTCATTGTTAAAATTAAGAATATTAGTCCTCCAATAGATGTGGAAAACACTCTACCCCATCCCAGTTTGGTTTCATTCCAGTTTTTGCAAAAAGCCAACAGGAAATAAAACATAGTTACGACGAAAGTAACATTCTAACTTTAAAGAACATGTTGGCATTTTCACCTGCACAAAGCACAATAGTCCATATAGTGGTAAACTGCTTGATCGGAAAACCTCTCTGCATCTCCTTGAGCTGATCCACTTTACAACCAGGGCAGTTGTCAAAGTATTGAGCTTTCTTATTAAGCAATGAATCCTGAATCCCATTGTTTTCCATTTTTTCCCTCTGAAGAAGCAGGTAACCAAAAACTCTAGAACAAACAAATAAACAAGCAGGGGATCATCAAAAGAACAATCGATGGGAAAAAAAAAACAAAAGGGCTGTCAACAAACAGTTTGATGATTCAAATGTTTTGACTGGAACATAAAAAAGAAGAGGAAATAAAAAAAAAAAACCGACAAAATGATTGATAAGATTCGAAGAAACAGGGGAAAAACAGAGTTGTAAAGGATTATTGGCCCAGTGCATTCATGGGGAGGTGGGTGGGCGGGCGGGCGGGCGGGCGGGGGATACAGTAAAGGAATTATGGCCGTGAGTTTAGTGTAAAGTGTTTTGACAAAATCATCATTGCTCACGTAGATGGGATTAAGACGGGCTCTGCATACAACTCAATCAAAATCAATCATTCATTCGTTCATTTAATGCAGACTGAAAATTTTCACGTTGCCATCTTTCGTCTTCTTCTTCTTCTTCTTCTTCCCTTATAATTCTTGCATCATCTTTCACGTGTCACTTTTCTGTTAAAATATTTCTGAAATCAGAAAAGGGACAGAGATTGGGGGAAGAATCTTTAGATGAAACCTACATTTTTCAAAATCAGAATAATAATAAGAAAAGGAGAAGAGGAAGAAGAAGTAGCAAAAATGGAGGCTCCTACACAAGTGGCAGCCTGGCAACGTTACGAATCGCTGCTCACATGGAAATTTTCCAACCTTCTATTTTTATTCCAAATATATACAAAAGCTCTTTTTTTTTTTTCTTCCTCCTTTCTTGTCTTTATATATGTCCTGCTGGTATATATCCGTTTTACAATAGTAACTAATCTTGTAGATTGGAAAACTGGCAATGATACTGTATGTTATTTTGTTGTGTTGAGGGCCATGTGATGTAATGAAAATCTGTGATAATATTTTTGATCTAACACTCTTTAATGGAGTAAAAAGTGTGGTTGGATTCGCAATATTGTTGAAATATATTAGCAATGTTTATGAACCAAAAAAATATAAATGTAGAGCTTAAAAGACAAGACATACTTGAACCATGACTCAAATTCAGACACTACTTGGTGTTATATGAATCCGTACCTACCCCTTCTATTCCAAATCGTATAATTATTTTAAGATGAATGGAATAGAATATATAATACATTCTTCGTCCTTAAAAAGTAGTCTATATTAAATTTCAAAATTTGTATTAAAAACATTAAAAAATTAAAATTCAATGGGATATTTTTCGAGGACAGAAAGAATAATAAATTAAAACTTGAAATTAGAAAAGAAAAAAAAGGATAGAACAAACAGCCGACTCGATGAGCCTTCCCTTGTGCCGCACATAAATCAGTTACTTGTCAAAATTGACTTCTAACTAAAACCAAAAAAGATGGAATCATAATATACAATCATGTTGTTGACTCTATTATATACATCTGCAAATTTGTTAAGGTTTTATATACCGTAGCTAGTTCGAGAATAGTATTCAATCATGTCATTTTCTTCTCTTTTTTTTTTTTTTTTTAATTTTTTGGTGGAGGAGGTGTTCTAAACTAACGTTTTATAGATATATACATTGACAAGGACATAATTACTTGAAACTTATAATTTGACGTAAATAAACTCATGATATTTTTAAGGGTCAACTGCAAAGGAAGTAACTATACTATGCTAAAGTCTCACTCCAAGTAATTCGATTAATTTAATTCCGAAATAAGTAACTCAATTAACAAAAGAAGTGACAAAACAAAGTATCCTTAAAATTTTGCAGGCAACCAAAACCATGTGCTTTACAAGTGAGTTCTGGGTAGGGGTTATGGGATGTCCACAACTTTGGCGGTATTTCTGGTGAATATATAGCATCATTTGCCACCAAGTTATATACATAACATATTGGGTGTTCATAAGTAAATCAACAATTTTGGGTTCTTTTATAACTTAATTACCATTATCAAATCGATCACATGGGTCTTGGGGTTTTAGATTTTTTCCCTGAAGGCCAAAGTGCTGCCCAAATCTGTTGGAATATTTTTGAAATATTATTTTTAATATATTATAAAAAGTTATAAAGTTTCATGATAGAAATGAAGAGACACATGTCAAATGTTCAAAGGTTGTGTATAAGAATTCTAATGAAAAGACACAAATTAGAAGTAGTGTCTAATCATCCCAAAAACTGAAGAGACATCAACAAAGAGTTATGTTTAATTCTAAGAGTCACTAGAACTCTATAAATATGGATCATTTGAGAGGTTTTTGATGCAGAGAAAATTTTCCAGATACTTAGAATAGTTCTAATGATCATTCTTATCCTTGCTTTGGTAACCAAACACTAAGTGCATAGTGTTTTGGTTTGATCTCCATTTTATCTCGTAGGAAATTTGCCTAGACAATTGCACAATATAGTAGGCGAATTTAGCCTAAAGGAAAGCAACATTTTTCTTGTGACTTAGAAACAAATCTTTTTCATTTAGCAAGTGTTGTTTTTCTTCTAGTATTTTGTGTGTTAGTGCAGCCATTGTTGTTTATTCTTTTATAATAGAATTCCAACATTCTTTAGGCTAAATTTCGTTGTCCAACGACAAGCATTGTGAAAGATCTAGCATCCAACATTGTGAAGTTAGATCGGTTTGATGGAGGAAACTTCATTCGTTGGCAAAAGCGAGTTCACTTTCTTTTGGTGGCTCTAAAGGTTGCATATGTCCTTACCACTACAAGGCCCGTCGTAGATGAAGATGAAGGCTCCGTGGAGGATATTCGCAAGGTTCGGAAGTGGGATACTGATGACGAAGTGTGCAGGGGTCACATCCTAAATGCAATGAGTGGTAGCCTCTTTAATGTGTTCTACTCAATTCATACCGCCAAAGAACTTTGGGAGAAAGTTGAGGCAAGGTATATGCAAGAAGATGCTTCAAGTAAGAAATTTCTTGTCTTTAATTTTCTTAACTACAAGATGGTAGATACGAGACATGTCATGGAACAATTTGCTGAAATTGAGAGAATACTTTATCGCTTTACTCAATATGATATGCATATGGATGAGACTGTTGTTGTAAGTTCTATAATTGAAAAATTGCCCTCTTCTTGTAAAGACTTCAAGAGAGATCTCAAACATAAAAAGGATGAGATTAATCTTGAAAGTCTGGCTAACTCTCTTCGTATTGAGGAAGAGTGTAAATTGCAGGAAATTAAGGACACTCAACCAAAAGAGGATGATAAGGATAAAAATCCGGTCTTTAAAATCAATATGGTTGAAGTGGGGCAATCTAGCAAGGACAAGAAAAGGTCCAACAATTCAAAGAGTCAATCCAACAAGAAGAGAAAGAAAGGAAAATGCTTCCACTACCTAAAGGAGGGACACTTCAAGAATGAATGTCGACTTCTTAAGGGAGGCAACTCCAACTCTTCAAAAATTGATGGCAAAGGTCTTATTGCAATGATTTCCGAGATCAACACCATTGGTGAAGACTTTGATTGGTGGGTGGATTCTGGCGCCACTCGCCATGTGTGCATCAACAAAAAGTCTTTCAAAAACTTCAAGGAAGTGAAAGATAAAAACTCTGTTGTGTACATGGGAAATGCCGTTGCTGTTCCTATTATGGGCGTAGGCGATGTAGATCTGAAATTTACTTCGAGTCAGATTGTAACTTTGACTAATGTCTTGTTTGTACCCGAAGTCAAGGAAAATCTTGTCTCGGTTGGGCTTTTGAATGAGTTTGGTTTTAAGTCAGTCATAGAGGCTGATAAGTATGTATTGTCCAAGGGGGCTATGTTTGTGGAAAAAGTCTACTATTGTAATGGCATGTTTAAACTTAATGTCATGGCTACTAATAAGATGAATATGAATGGTTCTTTTGCTTACTTATTTGAGTCATTTTCTATTTTATGTCATAATAGACTTGAATATGTTAATTATAGGAAAATGCATGAAATGGAAAAGCATGACTTGTTACCCAAATTGAATGAAAATGAAAGTGAAAAGTGTAGAACTTGTATGCTAACTAAAATCACTAGAAGTCCATTTCCAAGTATTGAAAGGGAGCCAAGTAAATTAGATTTGATTCATAGTAATATATGTGATTTGCATGCGACTCCTTCATTATGAGGAAATAAGGAGGCGTTTGTTTTGTCAACTGGAAACGGATTCATGAAACGGATTTGAATGACGGTGGATTAGATTCGAATAGTGACGGATTTATGGATTCGAATGATGCGTTTGGTTTAATATATGGATTTGCTATTATTATATATTTAAAAACAAAATAAAATAAAAAAATAAATGAAAAATCTATTCTTCCCCTTCCTCCCTCCCGACGGTAGCCACCACTTTGCCCACCAAAAAACCACCACCACCATCCATCTTTGCCGACCACCATTTTTAGAATTTCATAGCCCATTCATGTTCATGTTCATGTTCATGTCTACCACATTCTCCAATTCCCAATTCATCGCCTCCAACAATCTCATCCATCTTCATCTTCAATATGCCAATCATAACCAATCACCAAAGAGCTAAAAAAATCCAGCACAATTTATATTTCTACAAATTAAATATGCTTTCTAATTACCATAAACAGGTTATAGACGGAGCAATTAGATTTTAAGGCTGAAAGTTTTCAGATTATAAAACAAATTTAAAAACAAATTCAAAATCTAAACCCCAGAAAAGGAAAAATTGGCGGATCTACCCAAAACTTTACATGCTTCGTCAATTCTATCCTATTCTTTTTCGGTTAGCCAATATTACCCTAAACTATTCAACCGTTAGCTGATTTTGTCCAATTTGATATTTTCCGTCTAAATTAACGGAATTCTATTTAGTTTAATTATAAAAGCACCCTAATAGTTTTAAAATTTATAAAAATAACCCCAAATATTTACAAAAATTATAAAATAGTCTATTTTAAGTTTTTATTTAAAGTTTTGTGTTGTTTATTTCTTTTCACTATTTTTCATAACTATAAAAATGTACTATATGATCTTTTTTAAAAAATATTTATTTTTAAACTTTAATGTAAAAATTTTTAATTACATATTTGTATGTCATGTTTAATTTACATAAGCATATTAATTTTTTAATAATCTGGTTTTATAATAATGATACTATTTTTTAATCTATTTTTTTCAATCTAAAGAATAAGATTATTTAGCTAATACTAATTTTTCACAAAAAAATTAAACAATTCGCATAGATTAAAAAAGAATCTATTGGTATACTTTAATGTATTACAATTTAATTCAACTGACTTTAGATTGTATTTTAAAATTTAAAAAGAAATCAAAACTAAAATATAAATTTATTTTAAAAGGCCAAGTACAGATAGAAAGTAAAAAAAAAAACACCTATTTCATTTCTACGTTGGCCCAACACAAGAATATAGTGTCGTGGCATTTACAAAAATGGTACAAAATATTTTATAAAAAATATGTATATTTATTACAAAAATGCTACAAAATGTTTTATAAAAAATATGTATATTTAATATTTTTTTAATTAGATAATACAATCTATAATCTATTTAGTTAATTTGTAATAAATTAAAATGTACTAATATATATTTTTTAATCTATGCTAAATGTTTTTATTTTTTGTAAAAAATTATTTTGACTCAAAAAAATCTTATTCTTTAAATTGAAAAAGATGGATTAAAAGAATAATATCATTATTGTCTAGCCATATTATTAAAAAAATTAATTTATTTATGTAAATCAATCATGAGTTACAAAATGTATATCTATAAATTTGTACCGTTGTGTTTAAAAATAAATTATTTATTTAAAAGATCATATAGTATATTTTTATGGTTATGAAAAATAGTAAAAAGAAATAAAAACAAAAGAAAAATTTAAATAAAACCTGAAAAAACACTATTTTGTAATTTTTGTAAATTTTTGGTATTCTTTTTATAAATTTTTAAAACTATCAAGGTATTTTTGTAATTAAAAAAATAGAATTCCGTTAATTTAGATGGAAAATAGCAAATTAGACAAAATCGGCTAACGGTTGGATAATTTAGGGTAATATTGGCTAACCGAAAAAAGAATAGGGTAGAATTGATGACGCATATAAAGATTTGGGTAGATCCGCCAAT